TTACAAAGTAATCGCGCCCTGCGCTGAAGTGCACTTCCTCTGGGACCAATAACTGTAAATAAGCAGGGCTGCAAGCTGGCTGATAAGTTGTTGTTCTGAAGATAACGGTCCTTTTTAGCGGAGTGTTTGACCTTTTTCTTTATATTGCCTCAGGCTTGTCTAAAACCCTCAAGGTCTATTTTTCATCTTAAAATTCTCTGTAGGAAAGCACAATGTGTGGTTTAAGAAGATTTTAGGATTGCTTAACATATCTATATTTTTCTAGCATTTTTATGATAATTGTTACAATGCATAATAAGTTTAGCTAGTGTTTTCTTAAACAGGTTTTCTTTCTTTGTGTAAAGTATACTTACTATTGATGTAGGAAGCAATATATGTTAATATTTTATGAGGACTAAGTGTGTGTTGCATGATTAATAAATAGTACCATGTTTTTTTTCCCTGACTTTTATAGAAACTTGAAACGTGTCATTGACCCTTTTTACTACTTGCACTTTGAGAGCATTGCACTAAACATTACTCTGTAAAGCAAATATAATTAAAAATTTCAGCTTGAATGATTAAAGAAAAGGATGTCTCTTCTTTTCTCAGCATGTAAAGAGTATTGAACAGAGCTGTGACTGAAAATTGAGCATGTCTTAAAAACAAACCTCAGGGAGACCTCAGGGCTAAGTGAAAGTCAGTTTATAGGCATTTGGGAACCTAATTTGTTCACATCTTCCTTCGAGTTTAAAACAAAATCTGTGCCGGTATTTCTGTAAAGTAAAATAATAGGGGAGAAAAACCCACAACTATTCTCAAAGTAACCAACTCCATAATGGTTTGTAAAGTGCTGACTACTCCAGCAAATTGTTTATTTTTACTTTTAAGATATAGTCAGTGATTTCACAACTGCAAGTGCACCCAAGCTGTAAAAAGAGAAATAAAACAAGAAATAACTGAAATTGTCAGAATTCTAATCTTACTGCTTAATTTGTTGTTTTTCCTCTGCTGACCACATTATTTCATTATTAATGATATTTAAGATAAATGTAAAATTAAAATCTTATGTTTTACAAAGTTATTCACAAAATATGCTAATCACAAACTATACAGTGATGATCTCTTAAAATCTCCTAGTTTCTAATGCATTTCACTGTGTTATGTGTAGTATTGAAATATAATTCTCACACATTAGAATATATTTCCCAGCATCACTGTGATATCGTTAACTTTGATTCTGATTAATGTTGGGAGGCTTCTTCTTTGATTCAAAAGAATTGATGTTGTTCATTTTCTATGAAGCATATATGAAAGTCAGGAAGTGTTTTGTTCTTGCAGTTCTAGGCTTCTTTGTACCAAAACTGCTGTCTTGTTTAGTGACACTGCTATGTGAGTTGAAATTAGGCTGACAGATTGTGAGCAAAGGCTGTGGTACCACGAACAATAGCCTATTGAGCATGAGGAACTTGTTGAATTGGTTACCAGAGGCATTAGTGTTAGGTCCAGCCTATTTAGCATCTGGAAGACAGAGAAGAAATACTGTGCTAATGGAAAGTACAAATGATACTGAACTGCACATGGCTGCAGGTGACTGCAGCAGCTGAGATGTATTGTGCAGGAACCTAGTAAGGAGCAGTTCCAAAGGCAAAAGGCAATAAAGCGTTGTTGGGAGTCTGTGGGAAATCCTTCACACAGTGTTGCAGCTGCTGCTGGGTTTGAGTTGAGTATGTAGCTCTCCCAGCGCAGACTGGGACCAGCTTTTCACCATCAGAGTTTTCACTGACCAGTTCTAGTTCAGGAATTCCCTGGGCTTATTCAAAAAGCTAGCTCTGATTGAGCAACCTGTCCCTGGAACAGTTTAGATCAGTTTGATATTAAAACAGAAGCTGAGATGTGTGATAGGTCAGAAATCAAGATCTCCTTTTGCTCTGTTTTTTATTTATTCACTCAATCTTTTAGTTTTCCATGGCTTGCAGTTGAAATTCTTGATGGTCTTTGAACTTAAGTAAAAACATTCAGACTTAAATTTTATTTGGAAATCTTTCCATCAGATTTTGTCTGCTGTTTTGTGCTGCAGGTAACTTGCACTGTGTGGGGGGTTATTGTGATCACTGGAGGCTTTTACACCTTGTAGTTTACAAGCAGGACATTTTCTGTGAATGAAGCCTGTATTCATGCAGCCTTCTGCCTTCATGTTAGAGGATCTATCAGCACTGCACAGACCACTTGAGTTGCCATGACTCTGGGTGCCTATGCATTAAGCTATGTCCAGAGAGGGCTTGTGACCCGTGACCTGAAGAGTGGCCTGTTCCTATTCTTGTTTCCCTGTGACCCTATGTGAGGTAACTGGAATCCAACCTATGCTGCTGCACAGCTCGGACCACCCAGCTGTACTCTCACTGCCCTTCCTCAACAGGAGGGGAAGAAAATAAGATGGAAAAAATCTCATGGCTTGAGATGAGGACAGGGAGGTCAGCTAGCAATTACCATCAAAGGCAAAACAGAGTCGATGAGGAGAAAACTTTTAAATTTATTGCGAATTAAAATAGGGTTGGATAGTCAGCGAGAGACAAATTAAGTGCCACCTTTCCCCAGCCCTCCCTCTTTCCCAGGATCCTTCATTCCTGCCCCCACAGTGAGTGGCACAGGGGCCCAGAGAAGGACAAGTTCTCAGTTTCCAGCAGCCCCTCTGTGCTCTGTTGTTATCCTGGCACATTTCCCTGATCTGGAGTGCGTCCTGTCCAGGCAGCAGGGCCTTCAGGAAACAGCCCCCTGCTCCAGTGTGTTCCCTGCACGGGCTGCAGGTTGTCTGGCCCTCGGCACCTGGAGCACCAATCGCTGCCTCCTCCCCTGGCTGTGGTGCTTGCAGGGCTGCTCCTTATCTGTTCCCTCAGAGTATGTGCCATGTTTTGCCCCTTGAGCACTCCTTCACCCCCAGCATTGCTGAGAGGCCTGGCCGTATGCTGAGGAGGGGCCATGGGAGCAGGCCCAGCATCTCCTCACCACAGTCCCTGCACAGCAGGTGATGTTATCTGTGTTTGCAAAAGAGATTCTTGTTGCACAGCGTAGCTTTTTCTCCCCTCTCCCCCCCTCCCCAAAATTTCTAATTCCGAATGTTTCAGGCAAGTGGTTAGGAACAGATTGTTAGCATGAAGAGGTTTTCTGAAGTGGGAATCGGTGAGAAGAATCTTCCTCTGAAAAGGAGGCTGTGGGCAGGAAAGTAGACGATAACATTAAAAATAGGAAAAGTTGAAAGTGCTCGCTGTTCATCTGGTAAAGCCAGTAACAATTTAATGAAGAAATTCTGCAAATGTATTGGTGAACAGATTTGAATGTTATTTACTGCTTCACCCCAAAGCAGCTGATGATCCAAATTTTCCTACTTCTACTCATGTTTAGTAGCTTGCTACTGATGATCAGCTATATTGACTGAGGTGAGACTTGCTGAGGAGGAAGTTGTTTATTTTCAATGATGTTATAAGTAACTTTTTGAACAGCATATATCCAACTTGGGAATATATATTTAAATCAACAAATATATCTGAAATCAGAGAAACAGACTGGGTCATCTTATAGTGCTAGTTTGTTTTACGGGCATAAACTGTAAGAGAGCGAAGTTCAAATTATAAGGTGTGATAGGATGATATTTGTTTTGGATGAGGAAAATGTGAAGTCTTGTTTCTGAATTAGTGTTTTTGTAGTTCCCTGTGAAGCAGACAGCCTAAACCCTGTATTAGGTATCCTAGAACACTTCAAAGGAAAAATGCCAATTTTGCAATTTAAAAGAAGTTAGCAAGTTTTTTTAGTGCTGAACTTCACTTCTATAGACTGTGTGTTGCTTGCTGAATAATGCTGTGGGGGCAATTTGGCTTGACTACATTTAAAGTTTTTATTCCATGAAATTCACCAGGGAAAAGATGAAGGGTTGTAGCCTCATTCTTTTTGTGGAAGGAGGTGATACTGTTCCCACCTTGTAAAGAAGTATTAAGATGGTTTTTGAATAATGGAAAATGTAAAGTCCTTGCCATCTGAGGGAAGAGTGGGACAGACAGAGGTGCCAGGTGGAAGTCTGAGGCTTTCAGAGGTGCTCTAACATGAGCAGCAAATGGAAGGAAAGAAATCCACGCGCAAGGGACCTGAAAGAATTTTAGAGATTTTTTTTTCCACAAAGTGGGAAAATAAAGTGAATATAAACATCCTACTATCATTTTTATTAATTGAAAGAATCAAAGAAGAAGTCAATTTGAATAATAAAAGCCCTTGCAGTTGTCTTTTTGGTGTATTCAGGTATATTTTGTTTACTGGTATGTGTGAGGTTGCTCTGAAAGTAATGCCTCGTAATTTATTGTGTTGGCCCATGACATCAGAAGTAAATGTTGGTGGTATGGCAGAAGGGGTTGAACCTGCTCACTGATATTCCTTTATGTTTTGTTGCCGTGTGGCAGATGGCAGAGGAGGTTCAGCCTGACAAAATGGTGTCTGACATGGGAGTGCATAGCAGGCAAGGGGTGTCATTGAGTTCCTCTGTGAGGAAAAAATGGACCCACTGAAATTTGTTGACACTTGCTGAATATTTGTGGAAACCCATAGCTGTGAGTGCAGTGAGGTGGTGGGTGGTGCGCTTCAGCAGTGGCTACAGCAACATGGAATACAACCCACGTTGTGGATGGTCACACAGATTTTCACAAACATAGAATGCAGTTCTTGTTCATTGTTGTTGGAGACTAGATAGAAAAGTACTGTTTTGTAGTTGAGAATTTGCTCTGTCAAATAGTTATTTTGCTCTTTGTAGCTGTTGAATTTTGTGGAAATAAACTACTTTATTTTATTTTACTCTGCGACCATAATTCAGTCATTTAAAAATAATTTTGTTCTATTGTAAAGCCCCTTACATATGCGATATACATTTTAAACATCAAAGTTAATTTTTTCAAAACTTTTCTGTTTGTAGTTCTTATTCTTATCCATTTATTAAAATCCATTATAAAAATGCATTATTTTTCAAATGCTTTTTATAGGTAACCTTGGAAGAGTGGACTACATCACAGAATTTGAGTATGACCTTTTCATCAGACCAGATACCTGTAACCCACGCTTTCGAGTTTGGTTCAACTTCACTGTTGAAAATGTAAAAGAATCACAGGTAAGTACATACTAATTTAAATAGTATGACAGCTTTAAACATTGCTTACCCCAGAATATCTTATATTTTCTTTCTAAAAAAAAAAAAAGATGCTGTCCAGAGTTTGTAACTATCAATTTGTTGTAAAATATGTTTCTGTCCTTTGAATTTTGATAAGTAAAAGCAATTAGCATCCTGACTGGACATCACTGTTTTTTCTGCTGTCTAAAAAAGGTAATCATTACAAAGACAGCATAAGAATTGCCACCTAATATTATTTGTATTAATAATGGCTGATGTATACTAATATATAAACGTTCATCTGATCTATGTATGAAAACTAGGTCCATCATATGCGTTCAAGTCTTAGCACTCAAGCCTTCATTTAAAACATCTAGAACAATGAGCTAGCATTCCAAACAGATATTACTGTTGTGTCCTGTAACAGAAGAGAGGTAGTCTTCTTATGTGGGCCCTGTGGAAAGCGTTTATCTTCAAATGTGAAAGAACTTGATAGGAAACTCCTTCATCTACTTTTAAATAACATATATTTTCATTAAAAAATGAAACCAGGACAACAAAAACATGATGAACAACTGGAGCAAGTAAGTATTTTTGTTAGTTTAAAACAAATGAAAATAAAGTCTTTATTTTCACACTGACAAGTCAACAAAGATTTATTTTCACTTTCCACATGTTCCTCGCGTCTTATTCTGGTATTTTATTGTTTATCACAATCAGACTGATTTTTCACCTAATGGGGTGAAAAACCCCATACTTAGTAAGAGAAAAGCTGGAGAATCTTGATACTTGTATTCCTATGAGGCTAATATCTTTATATCCACTGCTGTACTATTCCTGTTACAACTAGAAATCATGAAATTGTTTGTTTATCAATTGAAATGTTTGCTTATCAGCCTGATAGTTTATCAGACAGGCCCTTTCCCCTGCTGTGCCTTAGTCAACTATGATCAAATTATATAGTCATGAGATGAATGAGAATCTGTCTCAAGGAGGCAAAGAGATCAGGTAGAAAGATACAATATATATCTAGTGCTTGCAGGATATTTGTTTTCATGGTTGTCTACATGAAAGAGAACGGTTTCACTATTAAGTTTGACTTGTGAGGTCTGTTTTTATAATGTGTCTTCCTATAATCTTTTTTTCATCTCTCCAATTTCCGTTGAAATGAGACCTGTATGAACGTAATCTAGTCTGGAACCTTATTTAGGTCTTTGTGCTAGCAGACATGGGCAGTATTAGTCATTGCATCTCAGCTATATTAAATGAATTCTAGAAATTGCTATTTCAAATGTTCTGTGTAACCTGGTTTGTACATTTTGATTATTTTTATTGCTGTAAAATAACAAAAACCATCCCATGCCATAGCGCTTAGAACTGCTGTACTAATGTGCAAGTAACTTCTATCTCTTTACTGGCAGAAGCACATATCTTAACTCTATCTAAGTAATTGTATAAATTATACTTAGTGTTGCTGTAACATATAGATAATGTGGTAGATAGACAGATCTTTGTGTTAACACATCTCAGGTCTGGTCTCAGCCATTTAGATGAGGTTACTAAATTTACTAATTTTTCATATTATGTAGATTCAGTTTCCTTCTTACTGTTCCTTTTCATTGTTTAAAAATCTTAACTTGTTTACTTAAATTTAAAATAAAAAGGAGAATTTTTATGCGGTAAGAATCTCTTCAGCCTTGCTTAATATTTCACACTAAAGCTTTTATTCATAATGAAATTTATTTCAAATTTATCATGAGAAAACAAGCAACTTCCTTTCACTATCTGGCTTAGCAATCATCCATTACATCTTCTGTTGCATCAGACGTTGACATCTAACAGTGGCAAACTGATAAAAAGTGAGTGAAAAAGGCAAGGTAGAAAGGCAAGAATGGTACAAACACTGTATTTTTCATTTATTTTCCAATTCAACTACAAGAAAGCAGTGATTTTTACAGTATGTTTAGTGCACTGTGGTATATTATGAATCTAGAGAGACATATGAGGAGAAACCTTGGAGATATTCTTGTCAATCTCACTGTCCATGTGTTGTTCTGCTTTTTATAGTGCAATTTTTGTCTTAAGCCACGGATCTTTCACCACTTGTGTTTGGAAACCTTTCCATGGATTCCTCTCACTAATACCATTGCTTGATATTTAGTCTCAAACTTTTCTCTATTTAATCTCTTCATTCTTGGTTGTAATTCTGCTTAGTAACTTCTCCTGATACAAAAAATCCTCTTCATCTTTGACTAACATGTACATTTGTTTATCACATTCTTCAGCATTTATCTCATATCCTAGCTATCATGTTTGGTTCTTTCTGTCCTGTATCTGACAGATCACCTCAGCTTAAAGTATTTTTCTGCTTGGGGACTTTTGGGCTTTCATAAGTGAATCTTTCCAACCCTTTGATAATTATCCTAGTTTCCTAGGGAAACAAGTCTTATATGATCACACAGTCACAGTTACACTTGCTAGCCCAGATTTTTGTGTGGTTAATGATCTTTCTCCACTCCCTTCTCTCTCAATAGCTTTTTAACTCTTAGCCAGTTTCAACCCGACTAGACAAGAATTCCAGTAGATTTCAGGAAAGTAAACAGCCAGATGGGCAAAAGACCCCATTAGTGTTCCTGCTGGCAGAAAGGCTGTAGTATGAGATCATTTCTTATTGAACATCAGAGAATCCACAGAGGAGGATTCTCTGCACAGGAAAAAGTACTCATTGGAATTTGCATAGGTAAGATAGCAGAGAATCCAACCATGAAATCCAAATCCTTAGCACTTAACGGTTTTACTTCTTGCAGAACTTCTTTTATAATTATTCCTGTTTCTGCAATATTTTCTTCATAATATGGAACTGGCATTTAACAGCCAATTCTGAGTTCACTATCATGCCAGCTTACAGAGAAGAGATTCTGGTCCCTTTGCTCTGTTGCTCTCTGAGTATAGACAGCTGAAAACTGCAGCAGCCTTTTGTTACTTAGTCACTATGGAAACCCATACCTAATTTGTTGTTCGCTATCATACATAAGTCTTTTTCAGAGTGATTGCTTCCTTTCTTATGTTACACATATGTTAGTTCCCTGTTGTACTTCACTAACAGGGGCGGGTAAAAGAACTGTTATGTAGCATGAGAGCCAGAATCTTTTCAGAATTACTTTTAGAAATTTATGATAAATTTATTTGATGCTTTTTGCTGTATTACATTAGAACCAGTATAAATTTTCTTTCATGGGGAAACTGGTAATCAAACTCCTTTATAACTTGGACTTTCAATATCATACGTCATTTTGTTAGGCAAATCTTCTGTTTTGTTTTTAGCTAGGAAAAATAAAGTAGCTAATGGTTCACATTTATGGGTAGAAAGAACCGTTACATAATATGCCTGTGAGGTGTAAAATTTGGCCTTCTGGCCTCCCCATATGGTTTCTGACTTGCAAGTCAGTTGGTCTGATAAGATCTGAATGGTGGATTCCTTTAGTAATTTGTTCAATGAGTTCAATTAACACCGATATGGGAACGAACAACAAAAAAAAACCCCACAACTGATGTGTTCTATGTAAGGACTGTCATCATGCTATGATTACATTTACAATAACCTTGAAAAGGGGAATGAAGAAAATAGGATTTTCTGTAGAACACCCATTCTGATGGGCAAAGCCACCAATTTCTCTAATTATACATCTATCATAGGCTACCGTCTATTTCTGGACAATGCTCTTTATTGGGTAAGGTTTTTTTTCCCCATTAATAATTTTAACCATGGCCTCTACAACGCCGTGATTTTGCTAACCTTCTTTGTGAAACTGAAAACAGGATGAACAAATGTCACATCTAGTTTGCATTTCAAGTATTTTAAATAGACAGTGCTTCAGATGCACGATTGCTTCTGAGCTAGAATGTCATTAAAGGTGTTAGAAGCAACAGTGATTAATTTGAGAACTAAGGAAAAAAAAAAGAAATTTGTGTACATGTGATAAATTATATATTAAAAAAAAGAACTTGCAAGAATACCTCAGAAGATTTTACAGGTGATTAGTAATTATTTCGTTCTGGGGCCATGCCTAGGAATTCTAGTTAAAGTGTTGACCATCAGTGTTCCAGATACAGTAGCCACACTAGGGAAAGATTATCTCTGTACTGGCAAATTTACTTCTGCTGAGTTTGAGAAGAGATAAGTGTTGAATGCAGCAAAGTGATGAAAAGATGAAAAATGTCTTTGAGGTTATTAACTACCGTAAAGAACAGCAGCCATATTATACCAGTGCACGTTTAGGCTATATAATCTATTTTGTATGTGTATGTACTCTAAACTCTGCTGACGAATCGTGCTCAGAAGTGATATTTTCACTGAGATTAAAAAAAGAATTTCCAACATAAGGGGTTTCCTAATAGTGCCAAATTTTGTTCAGTAAGTGTTGATAAATACTTTAGGAGTTCTCCATCATAAAGATACTGACAAAACATATTGAGAAGGATAGAGAAAAAAATTGGATATTTGGCAAAGGATTTGATCATTATCTATAGTTAGGAAGTAAATCAAGGTTAAAATCAAAGAATCAAATGTTATTTACTTAGAAGGCATTCTCCCTGTTCTAATTCAGTTGCAGCTGGATTGAGAATAGAATATTGAATCAACTTTTTTTGTTTTTCTTATGTGTTTCTATGGAGCAGGGCAAAAGGTAACTTAATTTTCTTTAGAAGTTAGACAGGATGCCAAGTTAAGACAGATAGTAAATTTGGACATCACAAGTTCACAGATCTTAGTAATAGTTTATTCTCCCTCCCCCACAAAGTAATTTAAAATAAGAATAAAAAAACCCACCACAAAACAACAGTAACCAAACAAACTGCAGTGTGTACAATCTTTATTTTTTCATTCTGTTTTCAGTATATATTCATCACTGGCACTAGGCTTTTCAGTTTTCTCCGGTCTCTATTACTGTCCTAATACAACTTGGAGATCATTATTGGAGATGTTTTTTTCAATATATATC